CGGGGAGAAATGCGCCCACCCTTATTCTTTGAGAATATGTGTGCACTTGTTTTCAACTCCTGGTGGGTTCCATAACCTGAGATTCCACTCACGTCATGGGGACTGGTTTTACGTGGTGGGGCCCGAACACCGGACCCCACTGGTCCAAGCTTAATAATCAATGGGTAATGCTTTTCTAACGGTCCTTATGCAGTCTCTGTAAAAATATGGAAAGGACCCCTGGAGGTTTACTTTCCTGAAAAAAGTGTGTTATGTGTCGGAACCCTGGTGGTGGGTTGCGGGATATCAAGGAGGGGCACACTGGGGCAATTTCAGTCCAGCAGGCTGGAGCCAATCATGGAGCAGCACAACAGAGGAAATCAGGTGTCAGGCTAGAAAAAGGTGCAAGTGTGTGGTTCATTAGGCTGCAAGAAATCATGGAGGAGCACACTGAAGCGCACGCTTACAAACCACTGGTAAGTGCTGACTACAAGTCATGACTTCAAATTGTTATATAGAATGATTACAAATTATTTGTTGTTTGTGCAGCTTAGTCAAGAGTCCCTAATTGATGAAGTCGACTCAGATTCTGACGATTTAACTGTCAAGAAGAAACCTGTAAAAAAGTATGGAAAAAGAAAAATCAAAAACACTTTTCTTCAAGACTCGGAAAGTGACGAACCAAAGGCAAATAAGATTGTTATCATGCAGCTGCAAAAGAAGAAAAATGGGGGGCGAGTATACAGCAAGAGACACTTCTGCCTCTACTGTTCAATGTCCTGCCACAAAATGTCCCGTCATTTGACTAGAAAACATGGAAATGAAAGTGACGTAGCCAGAGCATTGGCTCTACCTGTGAAATCTAAAGCACGTAAACTTCAGTTTGATTTGATCAGGAATAGTGGAAACCGTGAGCACAATTTTGAGGTTTTAAAGGCCGGCATTGGAACTTTAGTCCCAGCTAAACAGCCAAATTGCCCAGTTAAATCCAGTGAGTTTTTGCACTGTATAGACTGTGGGGCATTGCTTAAGCGAAAGTCGCTGTGGAGGCATGTGGCCAGGTGCCGGCTTTCACAGAAAGATGCCCAGGCTAAACCAGGTAGAAGTAGGGTCCAGTCCCTCTGCTCCCTAGCCCAGCCTGTACCGGAGGGCATCAGCAAAAAGCTGTGGTCTTTAATTTCGGCAATGCATCAGGATGAGGTCACGGGTGTTGTCAAAGCAGAAAAGGGGATTCTGAGACTCGGAGAGCACCTGTACTTAAAACACGGGCATGATAAGACAAAGCATGATTACATTAGGCAGAAAATGAGAGAAGTCGGTAGGTTAATTAACGAAGCAAAAACCGCAGGGAAACTGAAAACAATTAAGGATTTCTTTATTCCTTCCAACTTTAACCATGTGATTGATGCAGTCAGGTCTGTGGCTGGATATGATGAGGAAACAAATCAATACAAGACTCCATCCTTGGCCCTCAAACTCGGCCATAGCCTCAGAAAGCTAGCAGATATTCTTGAATGTGACTCAAAAATGGAGCATTGTGTTGATGAACTATTTATTAAAAACCTCCAACGAAGCCGGCTGCTTTTTGAGAAGAGGTGGGACGTCTGTGTTTCTTCTGCTGCCCTACAGACCCTCCGGCAAGCCAAGTGGAACACTCCGGACCTGCTCCCTCTGACTGAGGACGTTAGAGCCATGCATGCACATATTGAGGTATGTCGACCTGAATATGTGCAAACCCTAATAAGTGAGCCAACGTCTAAGCATTGGTCTAAACTGGCAGTTTTGACTCTTTGTGAGGTCATCATTTTCAATCGAAGAAGGGAAGGTGAGGTTTCAAAGATGCCACTGACAGCCTTTACCTTAAGAAGTAAGACTGGGATCCATTCTGACATTGCTCTGGGACTGTCCCAACTTGAGAAAAAGCTGTGTCAGCATTTTCAACGCATTGAAATTAAAGGGAAAAGAAGTCGGAAAGTGCCGGTTCTTTTGACTCCTGAAATGATTGCTTCGATGGAGGTGCTGGTGGAGAACAGAAGGGCCTGTTCCATCTCTGACCATAACCCATACTTCTTTTCCCGCCCGGGCGCAGACACCCACATCAGGGGATCAGACTCCCTACGCCAGGTAGCCAAAGAATGTGGTGCGGTGCATCCAGAGATGCTATCCTCAACCAAACTTAGAAAGCACATAGCTACTATGTCTACAGTTCTCAATATGAAAGAGAATGAGATGGACATACTTGCCAACTTCCTCGGCCATGACATTCGCATCCACAGGCAATATTACAGACTACCAGAGGGGACACTGGAGCTGGCCAAAATCAGCAAAGTGTTGATGGCCATGGAGCAGGGAAGAGTGACGGAATTCGAAGGAAAGAGCCTCGACCAGATACAAATTGAGCCTGAAGGTAATTCTTGATATTATTAAAATATGTATGATTTTTTTCCCCTAAAGGCCACTTGTATTTTTATTTTCTGTGCGACAGGGAGAGCAGTAGAGATCCTCTCACAAACGGACGGGCTAAAAGAAACTTCAAGCGGAGAACCTTCAACCATTCATCCAGATGCACCCCATGGTAGTGGCAGTGCCCCTTCTGGTAAGTGTACCAGGTGGGGGATTACAGCCAGGCTGCTTGGTCCTCACCCTGGGAGTGTATATTGCTAATATATTTTTATTTCTCTCCCTAGAACGTGTAAGAAAGCCATGGTCTGCATCTGAGGTGAAGGCTGTGGAGAAGACCATGACACCTTTCATACAGACTGGAAAGGTCCCTGGGAAGTCTCACTGCCTGGCCTGCATTAATGCCTCACCAGATGACCTTAGACATCGGACATGGAGTGGCATTAAATTCTATGTCAAAAATAGAATCACTGCAATTCGAAAACAAAATCTAAAATAAAATTCCTTTAAAATAGTTGTTTGGTTTCTATTGACTGTTTTGTATTACTTAAAGTCTTGGTAAAAAAAGATTATGTCTATGGGTCCCATTCTGAACGGCCCTGTCAAAGGGACCCACCAGGTAACAAAAACGTGTATGTGTGTGTGTGTGTGTGTGTGTGTGTGAGAGTGTGCATGAGAGCGTGTGTGTGTTTGTCTGTGGTTTGGGTGGGTCTGTTGGGTGGTCTGGGGGAGGGGTCATGGGTCGGCGGGATTGTTTCTAACCAAACTGTAAAGCATTTTGTGTTGCATCTTTTGTATGAAGGCGCTTTATAAATAAAATTTGATTGATTGAAAATATATATTCACTCAAAAGCTGATCTACCAAATGATGGAAGAAACGATTAAAGGGTTAACATGTCTGTATTTAATCATATTTGAGGATCTATTGAGTTGTTGAGTTTTGAAGAAGAATAGTTAGTTCTTCAGAATCTATAACTCTTTGAGATGTAGTGTCTATCACATCACATCTAACAAGAACTTGTGTTGGTTCAAGCCTTTCATCTCTCCGGGAAAAGTTCTATTGATAAGGAACAGGGCCATGACGTGTGTTCAATCTTAGTTTATAGTTTATATTCTTTAAAATGCAACAATTCAAATTGAAAAGGCATATTCTTACCATTATCCTACTATCCCAAACTTATTTTCTAACCAACAATGCAGAACAGTCATTTTTATCATATTTGACTCAGTGAGTGGTCAATCAATCTACTTTTATTTGCGCCTTTCCTACATGAGGCAACACAAAGCGCCTCACAACCCACATCATATCAACCAAACATTCTACATACATCTACATATACATTAAAAAAAATAACACACACAAAAAATTAAAAACAGAATAAAATCACAAGAAATTAACAACCTTAAAACATTAAAAACACACACAAGATTAAAAGAATAAGAGTATCTATAAAATCCCTCAGTTGTACGCAGCTAAACAGAACTGTTTTTAACCTGGATTTGAAAACTGCCAGAGTAGATGCCAGCCTCACATCTCATCTAAATCTGAAACGCTGCCTCCCCATGTCTAGTTCCGACTCTTGGAACCAGCAAGAGGCCAGTCCCTGTGCTCCTCAGAGTCCGGCCCGGTTCATATGGCACCAACATGTCAGCCTTTGCTTTCCATCTCTGTGATCTCTAAGAGGCTGTAGGATCAATTGTTTGGAAGGAAAGAGAGAAAAAAGAGCTTACATATGTGAAAGGGCAGAGGAGGAAACAGGAAGTTGGTGGGAGGGGCTAATGTCTTTTCACTCTGGCCTACTACTGAGAGCACTGACCTGGGTGTGCAGACTGAATCATAAAGTTTCCAGCCACCAGCAGATCTCTGCATGTATGGACCGATGCACTGGTTACTGACTCTAAACTAAAAGATCCCAGCCACCTGCAGGCCTCAACCAATTCTAGAAGCACTAAATAAAGGTGAACACTGGTGCAAAATGCCAATGCTGCTGCAGTATTTAGTCAGCCACTGTTTTGTTTCCCTTAAGTTTCATCTGGTTATTGCTTCAGAGCCGATGTACAGTGGGTTATGTTAAAATGTGGTCCCGGGTTTGCTTTCTTTGGGCTGCTTTCAACGGCCATTTTGTTTTGGTTTGCTGTGATTTTGAGTTGTAAATATATTTGATTTTTGATTTGATTTATATTAATTTGGACCATATATTGACGATACCCGGGTTTTAACTTAGTTTCTGACTTTACCTACTAGCTGTCTGCTATTTTAATGTGCAACTGTCACATTTAATTGATAAAGTCTTTTATGGTTTTATTATATTAGACACTTAAGTCACACATAATTGTCTATGTATTTGTATTTATTTATTATTATGTGCTTTGCCCACAGTAATTGTCAGTTACACAATGCACTACCAAAGTCAGGTACAGGGCCTTTAAGAGAAACCCAAAGTCAAACTCTACAGTATCTTTCCTCCACCCCAGCGCTTCTATGCACACTTCATACTTAGCAGTTCTTTCTTGTGTTCAAAGAATGTGAAAAAGTATTGTTCTTGTCTCCAGCTCAACGGCTGATCCTGAGCACAATCCTGCGAGAGAATGAGACTTTCTCCACCTACCTGAGAGACAACATGTCTGTTCCAGCAGAAGTCATCCAAAGCCTCCTGAATGCAAAGATCAATCCAGTGAGTAGCTTCTCACAAATCTGCTGATGCTGTACGTAATGCATACAAATGGCTTCATTCAGCTCCACTGCGTCTTCGCCTCCGCGCTGCTCCCCTTTAAGCTAACTCGTACTTATGTTTCTAATCAGTATGTCAAGTGTGATGCGGGTAAGCTGCAGATGCGTCGAGTGGCAAACTGTCGAGTTGGACTCTAATTATTAGTTATTTTATATATATTTATAAAAGGCTTGGCACGATGTCAACGCAATTAATTTCAGGATGTTTTAAATCACAATAAATAATTCATTCAATTCATTCATTGGATTCAGTCTTTATAAAACATACGACAAATATGTTGGTTAATTAGCTTAAACACTGTATATAGCTGTTCATAACGTAGCAGTGACATTTGTCTGTTTTATTTGTTTTTTTTCTGTACTTTTAATGTTTCATGTCTGTATTTGTCTGAGCACACTGGTGACTTTTTGCTAATGTATTCCAATGTGGTGTTTTTACTGCAAATGACAAATAAACTGAATCTGAATCTACAGCTGACCCTAAACCACAAAACATAACTACTATACTGTCCAAATCCATATAACTATTTGTTCTCAAAACAGTTTGGTTCTATCACTTGCTTGCATTTTCAGCCTCTGTCATATATCAGCATCAGAATTTTCAGACAGAAAGCTCTCAGTCCATAACATCCTGTAGTGACTCACAGGGCTTCCTCTTGCAAGAAGACACCATATTTCTAAGTCTTCTGATTAGATAAATACACATGTTATCGTCTGATCACTGTGTTTCACTTGTGTCGGTTGGAGCGAACATGTTGGCCTTTTATACGGTAGTTGGTAGAACCGCTTTAATGCCGTTTATTAGATTACACAGATTATGTTTTGAATACAGAGTTTAATCAGCAAGACGTTATGTTTCACCTTATCGCAAAACCAACCGCCACTTAAAATCTTTTGTCCGAAGAGCTCTCAGACTGTTGACCGAGTTCGTGGGTGACATGGATTTTAGTTTGAGTTTGAGTTCGAGCTCGTCTTGTCATATTGTGTTTTAATGTGGTATGCTGTCAAAAGGCATTGCCCCTGGTGGGATGGATAAAGTAGTCTATATCTCAATCTGAATCTGATAACGAAGGATTGGTGTTTTTGTATTGGTGTTAGGGCCGAGGGCATATTTGTCTGCGGTAAAAGCAGATTGTAGCAGAGTTCAGACTGTTTTAATACTGAAATTTTAACTCAACTATACTCAACTCAAAAATGTTATTGTCCCGAAGGGGAAAATTGTTTGCATGTGGTGGAGCAATGCAAATAGCAATACACTACAATCATACAATAATCCCAGCGAGTATGGCACATATCAGGGCACATCACAACTTCATCAAGAGGAAGCATGTCTAGATCTTTAAAAGTGTCTATTCAGTAGATTAACTGCGGAAACGACAAATGAACATCTAAAACTGTTTGTTCTAGCCCTGGGAAGCCAATATCTTCTCCCAGAGGGGAGCGCTTCAAACTCTAGCCTCAGGGGGTGGTCACAGATGGACCAAACAGACGGAACTTTTTTCAGGACTTGTCTTTCATGTATTTGCGTCAGAGACATTCGTTGTTGGCCAATTATACGATTGGCCTCAGACACAATTTTTCCCTTACGACTTCTGTTTTGGACAGACAAGTTTTCGTAAAAGGAAACAGAAAGACAGAGCAGACTCGATAAAGACCTATAAAAAAGCAGAATCAGGGACTTGCAGTATCTACATCGAAAAACTTTAGTCTGCGTAAAAAGTACATTCGTTGAGCCCCTTTCTTACAGATCTGGGAGGAGTCAAACCTCAGACAATAGTCCATGATGGTTCCCAGATACTGGTATGACTCCACTGTCTCCACTGCACAGCTGCGGAGACAGTTGGGGCAAGTTAAGGACAATTTCTTTAGTCTTTATTAAGAATGTTTATAAAATTCTTTGACATATTCTGATTATTTTCACATAGCCCCCAACAATTATAGACTTGTTATCATATTCTGTACAAAATATCAAATCTGTTTTGCATTTGAACTCCATACAACATGATTTGATTGATTGCACTTTCTTTCAGGATGCTGTTATTTAGCCGTGCTGTGATAAAACATGATACTTGTTGACGTTCCCACCGGTGCTTAGAGCAAACTTGTTAGTACTATTCAGACGTTGGCTCTAAGGGCATCATTATAAATCGTCCCCTTCTCCCTTGACAAAACACAGGTTCCTTTACTCCTTCATGTTACTGTATTCTTCTCATTTGTAAATCCCTGTGCCCATAATTAAGTTATTATGTTCCTGTAATTTGTAACTGCAAACATTGTAAATTACAGGTCATACATCCAATCTAAAAAAAATGCTGTCTGACAATTTGACATTTTCTTTTAGCATCACGATCAGAATTCTTGACACGTAATTAGCGTTCATTCCCATTGGCCTCAAACCCACATTCACTTTGATCATGCAGTATATATATATATATATATATACAGTATATATACAGTATATACCCATGGAACATGTGCTGCTTAGGTGTATGTGTGTTTAAGTACACACACCACCGTTCAAAAGTCTGGGGTCACATTGAAATGTCCTTATTTTTTAAGGAAAAGCTGTAGATAACTTTAAACTAGTCTTAACTGTAAAGAAATACACTCTATACGTCGCTTATGTGGTAAATGACTGTAACTGCTGCAAATGTCTGGTTTTTGGTGCAATGTTGTAATTGCTGCAAATGAAGGATTCTTTGACGAAAGCAAAGTTGGATGTAAAACAAATTATTTCAAATACAAATATTTATTTCTAACCTTGTCAATGAATTGACTCTATTTTCTATTCATTTCACAACGTACGGTGGTGAATAAGTGTGACTTTTCATGAAAACACTTTTGAACGGTAGTGTATACGTATAATTCATTTTTTTTTTTTTCCTTTAAAATTAGCATTATTATTATATTTTACCGTTTGGTTTCTGTTCCTAGTTTTTATTTTCGTAGATTTTAATTTTGTGATTGGTTGCTGTTTATTTTTTTTTATTTTTTTTTTGGTAAATGCTAGATTTTAGTATATTTCGATGACGACAACAAGGAATTTTAATAAGTTATGGATTAGTTATGAGAATGCTGGTGTGAATGAGTGAATGAATGAGGGGGGGTTACCTGTTTTGGTTTGTGTACAAGAAAAAAAAAACATGTGTTGCTTTGGCCTTAAAGAAAAAAGTAGTCTGTGAGATTATGAAGAAAAGATAAACAAGAACCACCCTCAAGAGTAATACAGGCCATAATAAACAAACCAATGGAATGAGCCAAAATGTGATTATATCATAATTTTACCATTAAAGTGGTTCTTTGGCTGACGTCAGGTCTTGCTGCCGCGCCAGTGTTGGCGTCAGATTCAAAATTCAAATGTAGTAACACAGGTCGCCAGCAGATGGCGCCTCACAGTTTGACTTTACACAAATTTGCACCAAAGTGACAAAATTATGACCAGGATATGTAGACAACACTATTGGACACTCATTTATACCGTTTATCAGCAAAAAAAAGTGGATTTGAGGGTGAGTTGTCCTTTAACGGGTAAGAGGTGACAATTAGAGCGAGCGAGAGCAGTTATCCAGAGCCGTCATAATTAAGTAGCTGTGCTTTATCTCGACTTATTCCTATTACAGTATGAGTAGAAGCCACTTACCTGCAGCTGTGGCACTAGGGCTGGGTAAGTCCACCATCACGCCTTTCTCAAACGATACAAGTCCTGACACATATCGCTTTGAGTTGGTGTCAAAAGTCAAGTCTGCAAAAGATTGAAAACTGCTGTGGTCTGATTTGATCAAACGCTTTCACCGTTAGACCTACCTGAACACTCTGCAGGGCTAATAAAATCGGCCATGAAGACTATTCCTCTCCCACCCATATTAGCTCGATCTAGAGTCCTGTCCAACATGCTAAACCACTCCCCATATGTACCTCCAAAACCACCTAGGGTTTCCAATTCACCTACAAAAACCACCTCAGCCAGTCCATCCCCTAACCTCATGACCATTCCACCCCCACTTCCCCCTCGTTCAACATCCAAAACCTCTGCCTCAGCCCACCCCGGCCCTAACCCATCACCTAAAACCCCTCCACCTCCCTGCCCCCCTCGTTCAACACCCAAAAGCCACCCACCTCTCCATCCTCCTCCCCTGCCTTCCCCTTCCCCTCTTTTCTCTAAACACTAGGATGCACAGGGTCTCTGCTTCGCAGCCACTGGCAGTCTAGTTAGAGGAGAGACCCGGCTGGGGCCCTGTCATGAAGCCACCTGTGCCATTCCCTTAGTGATAACACAAAGAATACATTACAGAAAAACATCTGGAGTTAATCAGTCTAATCTGGAAAATCTAATTCTTGTTCCGTGTAAGAATCAGCCGACCGCAACCGCTGATACTGAAACTTTGAAACTTGCTACGCTTAATGTCAGATCTCTTTGTAACAAGTCTTTTTTAATCAATAATTTTATTTGTTCTCATAATCTTGATCTTATGTTCATGGCTGAAACATGGCTTGACCAAAATACAGAAAATGCAGTTTTAATAGAAGCATCACCACCAAATTTCAAGTTTGAATCTGAAATACGGGAAAACAAAAAAGGAGGAGGCTTAGCTGCCATTTTTAGAGACCACTTTGTCTCCCATAGAATGTCTCTTGGGAAGTTTTCGTCATTTGAATATGTGTCTTTTAAAATACAACAAAAACAATCTCCTCCAATACTCTTCATTGTCCTATACAAGCCACCGCAGTCATGTCACAGTTTTATTGATAATTTTACCGAGTTGCTTTCAGTTGTATGCACAGATTTTGATAGTTTGGTTATTACAGGTGATTTTAATATTCATGTGGATAATGTTGATGACAGAAATTCAAATGAGCTGAGTTCTGTACTTGAATCCTTTGATCTCACTCAGCACGTAAGTGGCCCCACCCACAGCAAAGGGCACACTCTAGATCTGTTAGTTA